ATTGAAGAGGGCAACTATCAATGGCTTGTTATCCTCTGGATGGAAAATCCATTTAAAGCATAGCAAATCATTCTTGTTACTGTTGTCACTTTGCTCGTCTTTAATATTTTTAGTAATAATTGTAGTTAATTGATGTATCTGTCGGTTCATCATTATCTTGGGCAACTCGCGGATTTTTATTAGTGTTGCGAATATTGATTTGAATTAGAGTTTTAGAAATTTCGTGTTTTGAATTAGAGTTGCGAAAGAATGCAAATTTCGGTTTGAATTAAAGTTGCGATAATATAATCGCGTTTGTTTTAGCGTTGCGGATTATAAGATACCACGATTGTTTCTAAAATTTTTAATTACAAATCGCTGTAATTTCTTAAACAATTTTCTAGTACTATTAGATTTTTTTGTGTCTTTTTATATTTAAAATTCAATTGTAATTAACTCTGTAGTGTTGCGATTTATTGCTATCGCGAATATTAAAAATTACTTTTTATTTTTTGAGGATTAGTATTGCAATATTCACCCATCCAATAGTGGATTACTTTTCTAGTTAGCGTTCCAATTAACGTTAATGAATAATCGCGTTTGTTTGTTAGTGTTGCGACTGTGATAATGCCCACAGTAGAACAGTTTTATTGAATTTGGGGAAGTATGTTCACGTTCGCGAATCACCTGAAGCAGCTAGAAAAGCTGTACAGAGGTGGTCGTGCATCAGCGACCTATATAGTTGCACTATATCATATTATACTCATATCACGTATGTTGAATATCCGTACATAAACTAATATTCATGTATCTCACGTTTTCAGGAATTTTCAGCTTTTCCTTTTCGTTTCTTACCAATTTTTTATCAATTTTTATCAATAGTAAATTAATTAATTTGGCAAGCATGAAACACCCTTCGCGTTTTATTTGAAGATTTTTTTCTTTCTCACAAGAATTCCTCATAATTTAGTGTTGCGAAATAGAAAGGATATTCCACTCACGGTTTGTTGGTCGGGTTTATATCGATTGGATGGCCCTCCTCGCTATTGAATTGATTTCCTTTTCAACGCCCTTTATTATCAGAGCGTTTGTTACTGAAAATATTGGTAGTAAATGGAATCTATTCGATACGATTAATATTTTTAACTTAATAAAAGTTGTAATAACCTTTATGTTTTGTCGCCTGGTAAAAGTGAATTAATTATATTTCATAAAATTTTCCAAAATTTCTTATCGTTTAAATTTATTTCACAATCCATTATGAGAATTTTGGTATTTAGATTTTTGAATAGATAGATAAAAAATATGTTGTAATTTTTAATAGGGATTGGACTTAATTATTATGTAGGTTTAAATTGATATAGAGGTAAGCTTTATGAGGGATGTTGGGATTCAATTAATTAATTTTGAGTTTCAGTTTATAATTTCTAGAACTATTAAAGAGCCGTACAAAGTATCAGCAAGTTATACATTCAGGCATTTGCCGTTTTGAAAGTTATATTCGTCTGTGAAATATACCTCTCTTCTCTTTAATTGCATTTAATTATTCACATAGGCAGAGCTCATGAAAGTCTTTACATTTTTGATAGATAGGATTAATTACGTTCATAATTAGTCAGAAGATAAATTTGTGGCTAGGTAGGATGTAGTTAAGTACTTAAGTTACATTTATGATTAGGTAGGCTTCTTGTAACTGAAGTTAGATTTAGGATTAGGTAGATTTAATAGGTATTTAAACCTGAGAAAACACTGATTGATATTAATAGAATACAGAGGTTATTAATGTTAATGTTATTAATGTTAATATTATTTAAATATTGTATAGTAGTAATTAGGAATTATTTAATTAAGGGTCGTATCAATTAATGTATTATAAAATAAATAAGTAGATAAAAACAATGTAATTCCTTGTGAAATATGTCCCACAGAAAAATATATTATTTTATCTACTATTTACTTTGTTAATTATCAATTATTTTACATGTTTATTCAAAAGAAGGTGTAAAATATTGATAAAAATACAAAAGCGTATCGAATAGAACTACGTAGATAGAATTTAAGCTTTTATCTATATATTATTTACAGAGTGCGTTAGTTTAGAATATAATTCATTTAATTAAGGGATAGCTTCTCTTGTGCATAGTGATTGATGTTTTCCAATCGTAATAAGTTGATGTATTAAATAAATAAAATTTTGTTAAAAGCAGAATAAATGAGATGATGGATAGAATGAATCTTTACGCGATGAGATCTAGTTAATCATTAAACTGCAAATTTTTATGTACTCGTTGAAAATTTAAAAATTCAAAAATGGATAACAATGTACAAAATATCAAACATACAATGCTTTTTATAATGCTTATTTAATAAGCGAACCTCTGTCTAGATTTCACTTTTTCATTATTTTCAAAAAAAATATGAATTATGCATAAAAATCTGCAGTCTGCCAGTACAATTAATAATATCATATTATAATAAATGATCATTATCATGTTTAGGGATCTATTATGTATTTAGAAAATTTAATAGAATAAATTATTCTATATTCTAGTCTAGAGTCTAGGATAATAATTTTTAATTATGTACATATATAGTTACATTTAATTTCAGTTTCCACCACTAGTAATGTTGCAATCTTATTCTGATACCGAATCGATAATGTCACATGTGACACGAAATTGGTAAGAAGTTGAAGTTGTTTCCTGGAACACGAAAAGGCATTGTTTGTCGGATTTGTCCTATATTCTCATGAATATTCATTAAATCGTATGTTTATTTTATACCACGTCTGTGACGTTCTATATGTCATCCTTGGTTTCGATCAATATTCTTACCACCGACGAGGTATATGAATAGATCTAGCACTTTACGGGATTTCGTAGCAAGGGATCTGAAATACCGACATAGTAAAAAAAAATCATTGGTTTTTTAGCGCACTCTACGTTTAAAGAACGATGAATTAGGGAATTACATCGATTAAAACGATTGAGATTGGTCAAGTAGTAAATATAAAAAAAAAAAATTGAAATTATATTTTGGACAAAGTTGCATTTTTTTTACAAATTAAATTACATGCATATCTTCGAAAAGATTTTCTTTCCACGTGTTAAAAGTCTTTTAGATTAATATAATCGTTACTTTTCTCGATACGATAGTTTTTATCGTGATTTCTTTCTTTTTCATTGAGAGATTTTATAGAAAAAAAGAAAATGGATGGTCGTATTTCTTACGTGTAACTATTTTTCAAATAGTAGCTATGCAAATGACTTCGGTGATGTCATCCTCAAGGCGCCCTACTTTTACATGGATGCAATGTTCGCACAATTTGTATTTTCAAATAATATTCATTTATTCAATCACGTATTATTTTCTACGACTCGAAATTACATTAGAATATCTTAAGAGAAATATACGATTTGCTATTGTCATAAATTTTTCCTCTTGAGAATACCAAGGTTATTTATGAATTAATGAATTAATGAATTACTAATGACAGATGCATTTCTCATGACTAGATTATGAGTGTTTATGCAATCTCTTTTTTTTTTCGAACTCAATCGAAGAAATGGAATGCAAATGGAAATGGAAATCACTTACTCAATACTGTACAAAGATTCATGCAAATTTATGCGTTTAAGAATATAATTGAAAAGGAGGATTTCGTTAAAAATAAATAAGAGATTTCAGAAGATAGAGAGATCATTAAAATCTCTAAAAATTCGTTATTATAAATCTGTGAAACTTGCCGGAAAAATTACAAATTGATCATTTTGATCGTCCTTCTGTTACATGTATAAAAATCCGCAGTCTAATAATTGATACTCTACTTTGGAGATTTTTTTTTTATATTTACGCGTATTGTACATCTTTTTTAAATCTTACATTTAAAAAAATGTATAAACATCTGCGATCAATTCACGACGAGTCACTTTTCTTCAAATTTTGGATCATCGGTCGATCTTTTTTGGGAGTCACGTCCGTTCAGTGAGTGGACTCTTGATATTCGTCTCGTACTCAGACTCATGACCATACTCTATCAAGAATTCCAGGTGTCGTGCCAGACACCGGTCGTGTCGAGGAAATTCATTTCGAAGTATCGAAGCACGAGGTTCGCGCGAGTCGATGCGAGGCAACGAGATGTTTCCTCCGAATCCGACGAGGTTCACGCTGGGATCAAACGAACTCGTGCGTCTTAATTAAACACATTGTTGTGACAGGTGTCGAAGTGAAATATGTGATTTTCTTTGAATTTTCTCAGTCGAAGGAAATTTATTTCGTCGCGTGAGTTAAAAATCTCACGAAGGGATTGTTAGGAATCTCGGGAAGCTTCTTAGAATCTCGCTACCTTACGCTCGAACGGATTTATAAATCTCGAAACGTTGAAAACAGAAGTTTCAATTCTTCAACTCTTCTCTTGTGGCAAGTGTCGAAACGAGCGTGGCTTTCTTCGAAATTTCAATTTTCTCAAGTACGCGAGTATCAACTGCAGGAAGACAGTCATCGCCACGATTCACTAAATCTCCAAGGAACGATGTTAAGAGCGTTCGCTGTTATTTTACTTCTATCCTTCGCGCAGTGTATTCTTCCACCGGCCATCCTAGAGACTGTGTACGAATTTCTCTCCAAAATTCCAACCGCGGACAATGACGTAGTCGCCGACGAGACGTCCATGACCAAGGAGTACGACTTCGTCGTAATTGGAGCTGGTTCTGCCGGGTCAGTACTAACAAATCGCCTGACGGAAAATCCTGAGTGGAGCGTGTTGCTGCTGGAAGAGGGCAGGGACGAGATATTCCTCACCGATATACCTTTGTTAGCCCCGGTTTTGCACATCACGGACTACGTTCGATTGCATAAAAGCGAGCCAAGGCCCCAAAATGAAGATGGAACTGGTGGCTACTGTTTATCGATGAACGAGGGTCGTTGCAATTTACCGGGTGGTAGAGCTGTCGGTGGTGGCTCGGTGGTGAATTTCATGATATATTCGAGAGGATCGCCGGCAGATTATGACGCCTGGGCCGCGCAAGGGAATCCAGGGTGGAGTTATCGGGACGTGTTGCCGTATTTTATCAAGTCGGAAAATTGCAAACTCTTGGATCAGGATGTTAGGTATCGTATTCACGAGAATGAAGTGCATCAGCCTCGCTGATAAAGTTCTGCTCCTTTTCTTTATTTCTTTTTTAATATTTGGGCTGTGAAATTCCAAAAATTCGCTTAATAGATATTTAATTCGACAGAGAGACTAACTGTTACCAATAGAAAGAACAACATAGAATGATGCGATAACAGCTTTGTTACAGCATATAAATTGTGCAATATATTTTACTTTGTTAAACACACACTGCATGTGAACACACACTGCACTAACACTTTGCTCAATAGAAACGAAAGAAAGTTAATTAACCTCTGCGAAATGGTGTCGCTTTCAGTCCCTGGACTGGATGTTTGAGAAATCATGACTAGACTGTTTTGAAAAAATAATCACGTCTCTATCCTAAAGATTTCTTGCAACAAAGCGTTCGAAATAAATATTTCAGTCGTACATTTCTGATTGCTGGGATCTCGTTCTTATTTCGAGAGACAAGAAGATTTTCAATTTCTTTGAAAGAAATCTTGGGCAGTAACTGGGAAACACCTAAGAGGATCCTTGATGTTTCAAACGTAAAGCTAAAATTCAGAAAACGCGTAATAAATTTTTCCTCAAACTCACGAAATTTCTTGGCGACCGAAAAACACAATTGGCTCCGAAATGACTGAAAGAAAGAACGTTTGGGGTTGAAACGTGAAATTCATAACTTGCTCTATAAATATGTTTGGCCCCGAGCCTCTCGTGCTTCGCACGCCATTTCAGCATTAAAATCTACAAACAAAAGTAAGGCAGACGTTAATGATAAACCTAACCGGCATAAAGTGATACTAATTGACAAACGCATGTGAACGAGCCGGTGCAGCTCGGTGCTAGAAAGTGTCTGCGAAGTATGCGCTATTGCAATGTTTGCTCGACAAACGTTTAAGGCGGCGAACTTGAGTAACAGCCGATTAGATTCGTTCGATTTCGACACTCGCGCCACGTTTGACGTTCTGACACGGTTTTTCTTATCAGATTTCATGGCCACGGAGGATATCTCGACGTAACGTCCTCGCCGTATGTCTCCCCTCTGAGAGACCGTTTTCTCCAAGCTGGCGTGGAACTGGGATATGACGTAATCGATTACAATGCAGACGAGCTTATTGGCTTCTCGACGGCACAGGTTCACTTGCGGAACGGTCACAGGGTCAGTGCCAGCAAGGCATTCCTAAGGCCTATCCGCGACAGGGAGAATTTCCATCTGTCGAAATTATCGCGAGCGACGAGAATTCTTGTTGATCGAAACACGAAAACAGCTGTGGCTGTCGAATTTATTAAGAACGGCAAGACGCGATTCGTCTACGCCAGGAAGGAGATAATACTTTCAGCAGGTAATCTGGGAAAGCTAACGCTTCTATCATCATTAACACTAACACATTGGGGACGGGGATTATAACGAACTTCGCGGTCCGAGCTTCAAGTGGAAGAGCAAGAGAGAAATATTGATTGATATCTTTGGAATTTGCCGAAAATCTGATGCTACGGTTAACTAAGAGAGAAGTCAGCAAAATTCCAACAAATATAGTTTCTGTCGTTTAAACAACTTGGTGAATTTTTTTTAAATAGAATATGACAGTTTTAAAATAATACGACAAATTTTGTTGTTAACATTTCCATGTTGAAAAGGCAGTAAAGATCTTGTTTCTGAAATTATTAACTGAAGAACACGCGAAGACGGAAAAATTAGCGGCGTTTGTTCAGAATGTGTTAAGATCGTTAAACTGTTACGAAATATTGTTCGATAGCCTCTCTTACCACGTGTTCTCATACCTGTTCAGGTACTTTGAACTCGCCACAGTTGTTGATGCTCTCAGGGATAGGGCCAAAGAGTCATCTCGAATCGTTGAACATCAACGTGATCGAGGACCTACCGGTTGGATACAATCTTCAAGATCACGTCAGCATGTCGGCACTGACTTTTCTCGTAAACGAGAGCGTGACTATAGTGGAACCTCGGCTAGTCTCGAATCTAGCCAATACCGTGGACTATTTCGTTAAAGGAACCGGGCCATTGACAGTGCCTGGAGGAGCCGAGTGTCTGGCGTTTATCGATACGAAACAGGATTATCCAGAGGCTTCGTTGAAGAAGTTTCAAGTGAATAATAGCAACTTTCGTAACAAGAAACGCTTGAAAAGATATAATAACAAGAGAGGTAAACTCCGTATTCGAATTCGCTATTAATGAATTCATTGATAGATTGCGGATTTTTATGCAAATTGACTCTATTTGACTTTTGTTTAAATGACCTAGTCTTGAAGTATTTCGCCAATTTTTAATACGTAAAAATAAAAAATACCAGTGTTAGAAAATCATATAGGAAAATGGAACACAGACCAGAGTAATAACACGCCTACGCTTAAATGCAACAAGTTGAATTATGTTTAAACGTTGCTCACAAGAATTATTACGAAAAGAATACAATAACACAATTTTTCGAAGAACATTACTTGAAAATTTTACCTGACAATGAGATACATTGGATTGAAAGAAAAGTGGCTTGAAAATCATTTCAAATATCATGAAAAACACTGCAAGCAATTCTCCGCATTCAACTTTCAACGAACGCATAAAGATCTGCAGTCTACACATCGATTCTCGTCCAACGTACAAGATATTCTTACTAGTTTCAGCCTTTTTTCAACCTCCAGACGTAACAACCATCAACGTAAATTCGAATTACCTGAGGAATTACCTAGACTCGGTTACTCGGCGGAAAACAAAAATGGCTCAAGTGCCAGACATCGAACTAGTTTTAGGTATAAGTGCTCTGACAGGAGATACGTCGGGCAGTTACAGAGGGCTTCTCGGTTTGACGGACGAATTTTACAAAGAAGTATTCACCGGTTACGAGGGTTTCGACGCCTTCACCATCGTACCGGTACTGTTGCAGCCGAAAAGCAGAGGAAGAGTTACCTTGAGAAGCTGTGATCCACTCGACCGACCTATTTTCGAGATAAATTACTACGATCACGAGGACGACCTAGCAACCATGGTCCGAGGCATCAAAAAGGTTGTTACTTTCGGTGATAATGTTTATCTTAATCTCGTCATCGTGCGCCTCGTGCGTTTCGCAATCGCCTCTTGACTGGGTGAAATTTCACGTTTCGGGAGAACGAAGGTTGAACTGTAGATGCAACATTTTGGTGAACGCAATTCGAAAAGAGGAAAGCTGACTTGTTCAAATGAACAAGATCTTGAAGAGATTGATGTGCAAGACTTTCAAAATTTTCGAGACCTCTAAGACAACTTCTTGCAAAATTGCCAAGACTATCAAGATTCAGAGAGACTTTGAAGACTTTTCCAAATTTCCAATATTTCTTCGACGTTTTCAATTTTAGAACTTTCGAAATTTCCAAGATCTTCCGACAATAGAACACTATCGAAAATGATTGGATCTCTACAGTCTTAAAAAACATCGAATTATTATTATTATAATTGAGATTCGAATACTTATTATTGTACCTAGATTATCTATCTTATTTCGTCGTCAGAGCATACGAATTATTAAACAAATAATTCTCCATTCGATATATAGTCGTTTCAAAGTGTACATATGAAAATATTTTCCCCGGTTAAGAGGTTCGAGATCATCAATTTTTATTTATCAACACGACTATCGCGGTTGATATATTATACTATCGTAAAATGACTTTTCAATGGCTTCTTCAGGCTATAAAAGTTGCGTCGACGAAAGCCTTCAAACGTTTCAACGCGACGTTACTGCCGGTCGCGTTCCCAGGATGCAAACACATCTCGTTTGATTCTAATCCGTACTGGGCTTGCGTTGCGAGGCACGTGAGCACGACCCTGGGTCACTTCGTAGGAACGTGCAAGATGGCCCCGAGGAGGAACTCAGGTGTGGTTGACCATAGGTTACGGGTGCACGGGATCAACGGTCTGAGAGTTGTGGATACCAGTATAATCCCAACAATAATAGCAGGCCATACGAACGCGGTCGCTTATATGATCGCTGAAAAGGCCGCGGATATGATAAAGGAAGACTGGAAAATGGCAAATTCTCCGCGCAGAATGTCGTTTAACACGTTCAATCCGTTGGCGTGATCCGTCAGTGGATTTTACTCTTACTGTCATTATTATTATTATTACACGACTTGGTTAGATTAAGAAGTACAGGTTGCTGATTTAATGTCCACTGAGATGTGTTCAATCGTGCTTTCTTTATCATGTTCTTTCAAAGTTTTCTGAAAACTTTAGTCAGACTTTTTAAGGTTTTCTGGTTTTGTATTGCAAGTGATCTTTCTTTGGATTCAGTGGAATCCCCTGTAGCGAAATTTTCGATCGTAAATTCGTTTGAGAGATCAAAATCGTCATCGTTGACTGTACGACTGACGACTGTAAAATTTTTAATAATTTTTCACCTCGCTGTTTTATTTATAATGAGTCATAGAACCATTCGTATCATCCTTTTGAAATTGCCAACTTTGTAGAATTCGATAGCAATTACGATATTAATTTCGAAATTTGTATCTATGAGAAAGTTAATTAATTAAACCATTCTCCATATTTCATCATCATTGAAAAAAATTTTAAAATTTGTATCGTGAATATTAATCGTTAAAGGTCGAAATATTTCTGTAGCTTTCTGCATGTTTCAAAAATTAGAAGAAGGATTACGTACGTTCCAAATAATTTCTATCAGTTGATATTTATAATAAAATGTATATAACATTACTAATAAATCTGGTATGACCATTTAATAGTAATGGTAACAGAGATTAAACGTGTTAATCGAGCATTCGAAAATGTAAACGCAACAAGTTAAAGGCCAAAGATCGTATGTCAACGCATATATTTCCACATAAATTATCTTTCGTTGCTATGCGCTCTACTGCAACATTACTATGAAAGCAAACTATACGATCTTTGCATGATATTATCTGCATCGATTCTTGGACAACAGAGGCTGAGTCAGTTCTTAACAACGCAACATTAATACTCCATGGAAATAAATGGATGATTTCATTTCTTAATTAAATTTACATGTCCATGTAGAGATAACAAATTTTTTCCTGTCGACTTTATCGCCATAAAATGGAATGATTCAGCTTCCGTTGAACAACAAGTGTTTGATACACGTTCAACAGTGATTAACATTCTGTGATATAAATAAATACGAAATGGATTTATCTTTGGTAGCGATATGTTCGTCTCTATCTACACGAATGTAGCGTATTTACAATGAGAGGGGGAACGTAATTAATAAATATAAGTTGTACAACTGTGAAGTTACGAACGACTGTCGTGTCTCTTGAATCGTCGCACAGTGTTCACAAGATTGAAAATCTGGCAAAGAATAGAAGAGCTAGACCTTGAAGAAGTCGTTGCCAAGACACTGCAGCCGTCGTGGCTCCTGAAAATGAAACGAAATTCATTTATCACGTGAGAAACACTGTTGTTTCACGAAGTCTGGAGGTACTCCAATTTTACCATTGTCGCTGTATCGGATGCAATCGTACAATTCCTCCGCCATAATGTAGTCACTGGCGCAAGTGCAAAAGCCTGTAAAATCGAGGGATCCCCTTAGAAAGGATACAGTGTCCTTCTCCGTCCAACTTTTTTTCAATTCTCGTGAGAAATCGTGTACATACCATTTATACAGTCGACGTTCATCACGTCGGTGGAGTTGGAGTTCCCGTACGTGTCGGTGATACATTCTCTGTGAGTTTCACATCTTTCGTTCAGGACTGAAATGACGATGATTCACACAGCGATCGAATTAGTTGCCGATTCGGCGTGAAGCGTGAGGCTAACACTAACGGTACTCACATCTATCTCGGAGACATATGGAGCCCCGTTGATGGTAGCCCTCGATGCAGCTGCATTTGCCACTGGTTCCGCACTCGGTCTCCAGCTGAAACAACTGGCATTGAGAGTCCTCTTGACACGGCTCGCCCACGGAATTGCTAACTTTCAGACATCGTTTCCCGTCGCTCGACAACACGTGATCCACTTTGCACGAACAGTTGCCGACGCACCTCGAGTTCTCCGTGACGCACTCGTAATCGTTGCTGCACTTGTCGCCTAACTCTGCCGAGTGCACGTGTAAATTACAATTCGATTCTGGTGAAACACGACGATCGTAGAAATTCGTCTACGTATGTATATGTGTATGTAAACTGGCGTGGAACAATTCGTGGTTTGCACAATCGAAGTTGACACAATAGTAGTCGCGGTAGAACTTTATTTGTCGAAGAACAGTATTTCCTCTACTACCTTTTCTTTTTTCTAGACTCTCGTTCAAATAAATGTTGTTTGAGGGATCATTTAATCGGGCATTGATCGTTCAAATTTATAAGTTGAAATAAATAAGAGTCCGTGTGAGACTGCTTACCAAGACTCGGAATGCAACCATCGTTGCGTGGATTCGGATGATACCGCAAGGTGCACGCACAGAATCCTGTCACGCAGTAACTGTCCTTGATGTAGCAGTTCCGGTGCGTTTGACAAGGAAGTCCCAGTCCTGAGAAAGAATCAATGACGATTACCGTTTCTAAACTGGAAATTTCTCGAAGTATTTTCTGTCGAAGCAAGGAGCAAGTATTTACATACGTGTTGTGCATTTTCGACAATCGTGACAGAAAATTTCCAATTCCAATTCCTAATGTTCGGACAAGAAGAGGAAATTCCAAATTTCATTTTTTAATACTGGGATTCCCAATTCTATTTATTAATGAATTAAATTGAGACTACGAGAGGAGATCCCTAAATTCTATTTTTCAATGTTAGAACTACGAGAAGCAATTTCGAAGAATTCGCTTCGTATCTTCCAGTTAGATGTCACAATTTTACGAGATTTTTATGAACTTCTTAATTAACGAAACTGTGAAAGAGGACTCTAAATTCTCCGTTGTAATATCGAGAGAAAAGAAAGTTCCAAGGATTCTTTTGTAAAATTTCGCGATATTGTAAAATTTCAAGAAACGGAAATACCTGTGATACAATAAATCATCGCCTGATCCCGAATAAATCAGGTAAATATGAAAGGTTGAACGAAATTGTTGCAATACAGTTACCTCGTTATGGACGAAGGAAGACAGAAGGAACCGAAACGTTCCCTCTGCAGGAAGCAGCAGAGTACACTCACCTACAGACTTGTAACACCTTCCTTCCTCGTAGTGAGAACCGTCGGAGCATTGGCAGATACTTTGTCGGCACTCCGAGTAAGGGGCGAAGGTCACGTGACACTGAATATCCTTCTCGCAAGGGTCCCCGATGGCATTCGCCACTGCGAACAAATTCCCCCCCAGCGAATCAATCACTCGAGTCCGGTGAATTTTCCGCGATCTTCGAGCCGGTGGGTTGGTCTTCGCGTGGGAAAGACGAGGAAAATATAGTTCGGTTTCGTCGGGCCGACAAGCACGATGAACGCGACACGCTCTAGAAGACGGGGGACCGTGAGAAAGGGACGGCTGGAATACGAACGAAGGAAGATGTTGGCGGAATCACGTTTACCGAGGTCGGCGACACCGATACTCCCGAGTTAGCGACAAGAACGTCGATTAATCGGAATTTTTATTCAAAGCGATCGGCCGATCGCGGTTGTTCCAAGAAAAATATTTCGCTGTTCGATGTGTCACTCGATTCCATCAGCTGCTTTCGACGTGAGAAATTACCGCGACTTTTTGTCCGGTTTGATCGATGAATGAGAATTTTGAACACAAATACGAGTGCATAAGGCTAGAATGCAAAAGCGTGTAATAAATTAATTGCGTAGTCGGTCTAACAATCGAGGTGTTTCCTCGCAAATTTCTTCTCCGGCAAACATTTTTCTCTTTCTTATTATTATTTTTGCTATATATTGTATTTTTATTTTTACAATATTATATTATTATTATTATATTTTATTATATTATATTTTTTTTTTACTGTATACGATTATTTGTTTACTTGTTTCTCTTTGTATCTTACAATTTTTAACTCTTACGGACATGTCGTTTCATAAAGTGTGAATGTTTGCGCGTTTCTGGGAAATTTTTAACAGGTTTCTGTTTATCTTACATTCTCCTCGTTACGTTGATAAATGAATACAAAGTTGTGTAAACAACAACTAGAAGGCTTGAAAATCTTACCTCTGAGGCATTCCACGTGTGTGCGATTTTTATACGCGATATAATTGTCTTTGCACAAGCAGGTTTCTTGATTCCAACAGTAAGCATTCTTCATACAGTCGTCGTCGTATTGACACTTGGCCAACGTCTCTGAAAAATCCAAAGAATCGAATTTGATCCGATCTCCTCTACAACGTTTCACAATCATCGCGTGCTGCGTGCTTTCGTTTTGCACATCTCATTCTGCGCTTAAAATGAAATTTTCTCTAACATAACCAGATACAACGGAGAAGCACGTTCCTGTTTTCTAAAAAAAAAAAAAAAAAAAAAAAATTCTAAAAATCGCAGAGGAAAACAGAGACATGCTTCGCCCGACCGAAAAAATCTCTGTCGTACCAAAACGTTGTCGTCCATCCGCGACATTCGAATTACTCTCCCAAACTAAACAGCGCGCTCTCTCTTTCACTTAAATCGTCAGATTAAGTTGCTGTGCGTGTTTGAAGCGATCTCGCAATCTTGCTAAAGTGCAAAGTAGAAAAACAGGCGAGAATGTAACGTCTGAGAGTCTTTGAAGACAAAAGCGTGGCTGTCTATTGTGTTGAAACACAAAGAAGATGGAATTTCCTACAAGTATCAAACGTTGTATATACGCGTCGAACGCGTAGCACGTAAATTCGTAGGAAATCCCGCCTTTACATGGATCACCAAGCGTACAAGCTGGAATGGGATTTCTACGTGCTTCCATTTTGCATACTCATTCTCCTCTTACCAATTTTAACTAACTGTACATGAAAGAGAAAAAAAGAACAGCTCTTTACATCCTAAAGCATCGTTACATCGTACGAACCAATTTTTTTCAACGGTGCTTTCAAAGACTACACTACTGGCGGGTATTTGCGAAGAAACGAAGGTTGAGGGTCGCGAGCGCGGTGTAGGGTCGCCGCGTATACATACGGGATGGCGGTGTTCGGTCGCTGCATCGCGGCAGTTGTTGGTCGACGTAGGAAATGGTCGCGCAGACGGTGACAGGCACGAGGACGAGCAGCCTCGAGATCCCGACCACCGTCCCGATCGTTGTCATTCTCGTACCGCCGTTGGAACGTCGTCTTCCTCTCCGTGTCGTTTCATCAGTCCGGATCGAGTGGTCGTCATTCCCGATGATCTCGAGAAAGATCTCCCCCGTTTCTCCCGCGGGCTCTCGGGCACTAATCACAGCTTCTGCTCAAGCCGGGCCTAATCTCGTCTCTCTTCTGACCGTCGTTTTCTTCTTCGTGTTTCTCACTGAGCTCGCGTTACGCAACGGCAACCTTTGCTGCTCTATCGGCGCGCCTCACGTTAGATTCGATGACGGCATCGTTCTAGCTCGTGTGTGTAGCTCCGGCTTGTTCATCCGTCGTGACTCGTTTCGTCTGTCGTGATTATCACCAAACTGAGATCGTTCTCGGCCGCGCGTGCTCGATCGTGACGATCTTCCAATTCCGGATCGGAATTTTCAAGCAGGCACCGAAAATTTTGATTCCCGTTTCGAAAATCGTTGAGAATTAGTTTCGGGAGTAATACTCAATCGTTGTGAAAAACTGGTGACTGATAAAGTAATAATAACGGAGTAAAAAAAGGAGAGAAGCACTAGCACGAGTACTTGTGCTAGATATAATTATAATGAAATGGAATTTTGATGTGTAACGTATTCTGTAGTTCATGAACGACGAAAATTTCAACGTTTCCTTTTTAAAATAAAGTAATTTTTGGAACATCTGAAGGCTGTAGAGATTTTTTCGAGTAACTAGAGAATATTGCTTGTTTTTCTAGTTATTTTTCGATTATCGTCAATTTTACTACCGATACTAATTACCATCGCTATTAACGTGTACGATATCATTCTAATCATTATTACCAATAATCTGCTAACAAAAATTGACAATGATCTATGATTAATTTGAACTGCTATGTGAATTCTTACACTGCGGTAATTCTTTTTCAATTTGGATCACGCAGAACGATTGTGGTTCAAATTTGATTTACGTTTCGTACGTGTATGTCCTCGCGGACGCCGGTTTAGAAAAGCGTCTAACTCGAGTTGGCGAATCGATAACCGAAAGCAATCCGCGTTGCCATTGTTACAGGGAGCAAGCGGGTCACGTTTTACCAATCGCGAGCGAAATTTGGTGAAACGTGCCTCGGACGCTGCCGATCGTGTTTTGGAAACTCGATTAAACGGCGCGGTTCCCTTTCAATTCGATCGTCGACGACCATGCGTCATCGTGTCGCCGAACAATCAATCTAGCCCGAGAAATTTTCTCGCAAATTATCGCGACGATGTTTCGTTGCGACCGCGTAACAGGTTGCACCGCGCCATCGGCGTGACAAATCGACGATGATTCAACTGCGAAACCATGCGATCGTGGTCAAGTTCACTCGGACAATGTTTGCGTAATAGCACCAAGTTCTCTTTACTTTGTCAAAGTATTCAGTTCGATTCGAACGAAAGAAAAAAAAAAAGAAAGTTCTGCGAACTGTGTCTCGTGCAATTTGACGCGAGTATATTCCGTAATAATTGCGACGACGTCTTTCACTCGCTTTGAACTCGAACGTGGGTCGATCGATGGTCGAGTTTCGCGTGTTCTGCTTCCATAGTTTCGGCCTATTACACAACGAGACTGGTACGTCGAAACACAGAAGCCATTGTTAGGTATCGTGTCTTATTCTTTTCCATCGATGTCACGTAGCGATTCGTTCGCCAGAAACTTTTGTTCGATTCCTGGGCCAATGATTTATGAGAACCCGAGGGTTTAGTCATTGCGTAATTTGTACGTGTGCGTGATTTAGCTATTTTTATCGTTGATTCATTCTTTGCCATGCCTGTAGTTGTATTTCACAGTCATGAGTAAAATTGTGTATTTATGATTACGCGGACAGAGATAACGTAAATGTTGGTTAAAATATAAAATATATAATATATAAAGTATAAAATATCCAATTAGCACGCGTTAGCATGTAATAATAGCATGAAATAATCTGTTATTTTGTAAAGAGGAATTACATTTATTAAACTCAATGAATAGATATACGATATACTTATCAAAAAGAAAAAAAAAAGGTGTATGACGTTGATAAAAAATTGTTACCAATTCTCATATATACGTGTATACACATGATACAGATAAATGCCAGTTTTAATCCTTTGAACGTTCTCAATACCGTGTAAATAATCTGAGATTAGTAATCTCAGTTTGAAATAGCTAGTTAAAACGTAACAAATTAAAGATAAATATCCTTTACTATACATTGTAACACGTATTGCTCTCCCAATTAAATTTGGTAATTTCGCTAAATCGACTTTTCATAATTTCACTTTTAATATCGTCTATCGACAGTAATTCCTCGTTGAAACGATTTTCCATCTAAACGAAATTCCATTGTCTCAACCTTGCATAAATACTTGCATTGTATTCATAACGTGTCTTCTGTTGTTCGTACATATGAAAATTAGTGGGGATTTCGTCTCTCCGCGTTTGGTTCCCCGAGGAACCGTGTGTATAGACAGATTTCGTCACGGATTTGGGAGGGTTAAACGCTGGCATTGTTTTCCAGGTCGTCGTGTGACTTCGTAATAGGGTTTCACGCAATAGCGTGAGCTTTGTTCGAGTCGTACGCGCGCAAAATCCGGCACGTAGAACAGAGCGTCAGACCGAAATATCAGACGACGAGAGGGAACGATCTCTCCCTTGTTCTTTAATTATGTGCGGTTCCAAGCCCAAGGCTTGGCTCGCTTAACTGTGAGAACCAGCAGCGTAGATCCGGCCTCTCCGCTGTTTCCCCACGAAACCCGAAGAAAGGATCACTCGGTCATGAAGGAACGAAACCACGCGAGACTTTCCTTATAAATTCACCACGTACCGGGGGCATCTCGAGATCTTATCGTCGAAGAAACCTCGACCAGACCGTGCTCTAGACGGATTTTTCTTTCGACTTTCGTTGCATTCGACGTGTTCATTAGCTGCGGTACACTGTTGTCTGCTTTCACAGAAATATCATTGACATCGAGAGAGATTCTATCGACCACTAAAGCGTTTTACACGAACATCATTTAATGACACGATGACGTGATACACTGAAGGACAAGAGAATTTTAAAATCTTTTTGATATACTTCGTTTCAAATTTATAAAATTAATAGTTGGACGTTTGATCAGTCAATTTAATTCGAGGAATCGGAATTATACCTGAAAGCCACAGACAGGTGGTGACAGATCGCTAAGGAATCTCCGAAACTCTTCTGCTTCGATTTCAACAGCTCGCGTTAATGGGGTAGATAAGATAACATTTCCTTTGTTTTTCTCTTTCACGTGCGATAGTCACCTCTAGATTGAAGTTCAAACACTTCAATATGAATTGAAATTGTACAATTGTTTTTTCAAAAATTACGGTATGAAAATACTTTCGCGAGAGATCGATCGTGTCAATGGGGTAGGACAATCGTCACTTCGAAATTCAAGTTTCAACACGGGTTCAAATCCAAACTGCAACTCTACACGAACAAGCAAGTTCAAACTCCGATTTAAAGGAAATCGTTTTCAACATTACGTTTCACGATGGAAAAGAATTTTTTTTTTTTTTTTTTCGAAAAACTCAGTTGTGTCAACAGGCGTAATCATCACTTCGTCGAAATTCAAGTTTCGAACTGTGCGAAACAGACAAATTGAAACTCCGATCTTTCGTTTGTCAAAATGGTAAAAAGTGTACTCGTAATTCGATCACATGTTTTCGCATGGGACGATGGAATTGTTGGGTAGCGTAACGTGTCGCGGTTTCGAACGATGGTGTAGCGAGAAGCACACTCACGTCTGCTGAGTAGATGTTCATGCTGACCGTGCGCGGCGACGACTGCACTCCGTACGACGAAACAGAGGCCGATCGACAGCGCAAGACCTCCCATTGTGAGACGATTTACCAAGCCCGCCATCTTCCTCCTCGTTCAGCACGAGCTCGCCGCTTTTTCGCACGTTCCTCTTCCCTTTTTTCTTTCTTTCCTTTTTTTTTTTTTTTTTTGTTTTTATTTTCTCCTCGTGTTCGTTTCTCGATCGGACCGAAGGAAACACGGCGAAACGCGACACCCTCTCGATATCGTTTCTACTCCCGGTCTAACGAAGCTTTTCCTCGCTCCTAAACTCCACGATTTTTCCTTTTATCTAATCAGCACGCGCTGATAAGTCCGTGATGATGAATGCAACGAACGAAGAATCACCCGCGTTGTGTCTGATCGCGCATCGTCGAATCGCGACACAGTATTATTACATCGAACGCGTGTGTCATTGGAAACTTAAGATTTTCGATTAAGCCGACGGTTTCAAATATATATATGCATGTGTGTATGTGTGTATATATATGTGTGTAGTCAGTTGAAGTCTGCAAATTTTAGATATTTAATTACATACTTCATTGATATCATTGTGATCGCAACAATTTTTGGAGTTGAATTACTTTAGAGTTTCAGAACTCTTGGTTCAATTTTTTTTTTAATTCTCATTTAATTTTTAATTACTGTGACTTAATTGAATTTCATTGCTAATCTTTATCATTTACAGAAAGAATAAAATACAAAATAGAGTCAAATATCTTAAACTTCTGATTCTAAGTTACTACATTTACGACTCGAAGATAGGATTAAAATAGAAAAAGAAGGGTTTTGATAAGTATTTTATAGGTCTGCTCTTTCGGTCATTCTCGATTCATTTATATCTTTCAAAAATTATAAATATCTCAAGTTTGAAGCGTTAAAAAATTCTTCTCAGCACAATTAAGTTTTATTTTAGTTAAATATCTACGCAAGACAAATTCATTTCATTTTCTAAATTGAGAATAACGTAAAAATATAAAAATTTGTAGGTCGTAACAGTATGCAATACATTTTCGTAGAGGATAGGTAAATAAATTGAAGACATAATATATATCGTACGTAAAACAAATAAAACTTAAGACAACAAACAGATATTCAAAGGTATGAGAAGATATTCGAAAGCAGACGAATTCTCACTTGAAATATTAATGAAGAAAGCAGAATAGGTTGAGATGAAAAATAAAACTCTCGTTTATTAACACATACTGTATTTAAAAGAAGAAAAAGATCACGAGAAACGATAGTAGCTTCCTTTGCAAAGTAACAACAAATGTTTCTTATCCTAAGAATACAGCGATGTAAAAAAAAAATAGAAGATACAAAATAAACGGAATGCTTATCAACGACGCTTGCTCGATCTTCGCATAGGTATAAAAAAAAAAGAAAACAAACGATAGGCTATCTCCCTAACAATGAAACACTTAATATAAAAATTCGTAAAAGTCTCTAACCTGTCTCTAATTCAAATAAAATTGAGACCTCGACACAAATCTACAAATCATACTTGTGAGAATGTTGTGAAAAATATAAAATACCACTGTAATCGCCGCTCTGTAATCGTTACGAGATTCCAAAGATTCGCAATAATTAACACTTTGCACATCTCGATTGACGTGATTTGATCATTTTTAAAGTTATCGAAGTGCCAGACATCGAGGTAACGTTGAAACAAAATTGTGAATTGAGCTTAGCATAAATGTGCAGATACTTGTGAGTTATGGAAATTATAAAATACTATTATTCCCCTGTTATGAGATTCCAAGTTTTGAGTTTTGATACGCGTGCTTGAGTGTATCAATTTCTCGTAGATCTCGCCGTCTCTCAAACTCTCAGCGAGATAGAACTCGAACCGAAGCAAACTAGGCGCGATTGTTCAGTTGTTTCCACTTGTTGGCGAGCGTATCCGTTTCTTTGGCATTGAAAACAGCCTGCGTGTAAGATAGACGCGGTTGCAAGAACGGGAGTCGCTTTGAGCGCGTTAATTGCATGCTGCGACCCGCAGGAAGTCTTTAAACGGTTCGGTGCACCCGGCCTATTCTTCTCTCTCGATGCACTCGACGCGTAAAACTCTGTGCCGTCGCGGGGACATCCGATGCCACGCCGCGTTTTCTGCTACCTTTTTCACTCTCCACGTGCTGAATCCCACTCCGCGTGTTGCGTTTCACGTTCGCGCGCCGAGGCAAACCGAAATATGTACTGCTCCTCTTTCGTACGTCGTTTTTGTCGAGCAAAATGAATTATTCCCCTTAGATCGCCAAGTCCACGTAGATGACGAAGAAGACGAGGAAAACGGATAGAACAGGCTGAAGCGAACCTAGAAAATACGTTGCAACGAGGATACATTATGTAACGGACAGTGTAATATCTGGCAAACGTTTTGCAATTAAACTACGGAGTTTTCCAGCAAACTCAAGTGCAATTTAAAAAAAAGAAAAAGAAAAAGTGGAATCTGGATGACTATTTTATTTACTAGGTAACTATTTCATTTTTCTAGAACAATGTGTCTTGAGTGTTTCACATATTGTGCATTCTCTCTACTTTGAAATTATTTTCGAAACGTTCAAAATGCGATCAATCCCTTATAAAAGCAAGGTGCAAGTAGGCTAGTTTCCCTGTATTCTTCAGAAAATAGAGTCGAATGTTTTTCTCACCTTCGTTCACGCATCTGTCGTGTTCTCTCTCGTAATTCTCCGCGCACACGCACACGTTCTTCTCGCACTTCAACGTCTTGCTCGTCACGTTGTCATTCTCGTCTTGATAACAGTCGAACGTATTGCCGCAAGTCTCGTCTAATCCTACGAAACGACTGGCAATTACTCTATTGGAACAGAGGAGAAATCAAAAGAAAATGAAAGAAAGAAAAAAAAACTTACCTCTGTTGTTGAAACATCGTTTCATTTCGGGCTCAAAGTGATACCGATCTTCGCAATGGCACGTTTGATTGACGCACACCGCCTTTTCAAATGTTTGCGCGCACTGAACGTTTTCAACGCATTCGTCCTGGATATCACGCGCCACTTTCAAACATCTTTTCCCATCCTCGCTGATCACAGTCTCTTGCGGGCAATCGCAAACGTCGCTACTCGTGCATACGGCACCGCTAACGTGAGCGCATTCCTCGTTTCCGGTACAGAACTCTCTCATAGCTGTGAATGTAACCAAATTGCACGTGTTAATTGTATTTGTAACGATATTTGAGAGGTAAGGACAAGAAACAAGGAAATTCAGTTTTAATATTTATTGCGTAAAAGTTCTGTATTAGTAAACTAAAGTAATTAATTTGTACTAATTTGTTAAAGCTGCTTTCTGACATTTCTCATTTCTTCGTCCGATTTTTTACTTCCTCTTGCTTCTTCGACGAGACGAAAGAAAGAAAATTTCGTTTCTTCTCTCCGTTTTTTGACCGACTCTGTTGACTTTTTTTTTTGTTTTATATACACATATATATATATATATCTTTTTCACGCCGAGATACAGCATGTATTCGTGCATTTTGCTAGACTACAATAGTAGAATGGATAGACAAACGAAAGAAGTAAGTTCTGAATTCTTCACTGAGGTTTCTGAAAGAAACCGCGACGTCGAAACTCGCTGTTACCGATGGTTTTGTAGCAGGCGTCCTCCACAGGATGATATCCGGGTATGCAGACGCAATGATTACTCTCACACACTGTATTCGGTAGAAGTATCGAACACTGCCTGCTCTCTGTGCACGGAAAGTCGAATGTTTCAGCCTCTAAGTATGAAACAAAAAACGAATACAATTAATATCGAACTTGAAGTCAAAATCAAACTTGCGTTCGAGTATTCAGATTGATCGTCGTTACTTTTTAGACACTCTTTCTTGCTACTTGACAAGATGTAGTCTCTTTGACAGTCGCACTGGCTCATCGTCGTGTTGCAAAAAGTATGATTAACCATGCAATCCTTGTCGGTCTTGCAAACGTGGAAAATTGTGGCCCCTGAAAAGAACATCGTGTCTTTTATCTGTTATATGAATTGAAGTGTTCGGTGTAAAAGGGAATTACGCCACAAAATGTTGAGAAATGAAATTTTTATTAAACCTTCAAGATCTCACCGTATTTTAAGCAGCCGTCTTATTTTTTAGTATTCTATCATAGCTTTTTCTACTTTATGATTCTATATACGTTCATAGATTTTTCGAAAAGTAATTCCTGTTTTACAATGATACATGTAAAAAAAGCTGCGTTGTGCAAATGTAATATCACAAAGGGATAAATTCTGGTGTCTCTTAATGTCCAGCTAAATTAAGTGATAAAATAAAAAAGTAACAGCCTTAATTACGAAAATTATTCTATTGCTTTTCATAAGAGTCTTAATATATCGCAACGTTACTATCGTGGCATCACTCCTTCTTACACTGGATTCTTGATTTGTGAGAAAAAAGGAATGAAAAGAGAAGTAAGCTTTTTTACCTGTACTTCTGTTAATGTGTGTTATATTATTGCTGGAGCAGTTTTTGGTTTGCCCGTTGTTCTCGCAGAGACAATATCCATTTTGACACGACAACCCTTTCGAAATGTTCAAGACCTCTATGCAAGTTTTAGCATCTACGCAAGGGATGGGCGGATCTGTAAGAAATCAGTTTAAAATTTTTGAGAATTTCTGTACTTTACACGGAAAAACGATCGTTCAGCTATCTTTTCGATAATGAAATATAATATGCATTGTTTGCATCACGACATAAATTACATGATGAGCTCGTGTCATATGAATGCGATATTCGTGTACGTCAATATCTATGTAATGATTAAATGCTTGAGAATGCAACGCTAAAAAATCAGTCTTTTCGTTTATATGAACAAAATATTTTCTTTGTTTAATACTGCTAATTCTTTTTTTCTTCATTTGACTTGACCATCGATTGAAATATCTCGAGTTCTAATGAAGAGAGATACATGATATGTTGTGCGAATGATACTGCGTAGCGGAATGCGTAATAATGCATTTATCTCGTGTTTGAAGTACATCATAAACGATATTGTGTGGTGAGATGTTTGGTCCATAGAATACAAAGGGGTGGAACGATTACTGTTGGATGTAAGAAAGGCTTCAATGCTTAATTAGATTCTACAATCTTACAATTTTGAAATTTCTAAATTCGAGAATTTTGCAAGTCAATGTTGACTGCAAGTCACTGACTTTTTTTCTCAAGACAAATATCGATCAACCTAATTTATTATTGATTAGCTTTTTAACATGATAATAATTGTTTTACGCAATAATGGCCTAAAATTAAAATTCGTTTCATTCATTGATACATATAATATGACACTATGTTGTGCTACAAGAGAAAAAATATGTAATTTTTTAACATTATAGTCAATCTTGCAATATGCTACATGTATGTAAGATTTTCTTGGAACTTGCTTTTGTCACAGAGCACCCTCTTACATCCAATAATACAATTATCGATGGAGAGCTCTGTAAGAATTGTTTTTCTCCGTACACTCTTTAATTTTCCCTGCTCCCGAGTAACGAGTTGTATAAAATCCTTGTCGAACTAAACATTAAGGAATTGAAGTGAACGAGCAGATCACTCCTTGAAGTATTATCACTCGATCGGCTTCTCGGTACCACGAAGAGGTCGACTTTATTTTGAAACAAAGAGCCTGCCAACGTTTGTATACAAGTAACGAGACGAAGATAATACACGTATTTGTTTCGAAGAAATGGCGTTATATCGATACACTGGTTACTTCCAACGAATCAATGTTGAATCATTTACTAAACTTAACTCTTCTGATTCTCCGTAAAAAATTGTATCATTCGAGGGGAAACATTTTGAAAGAACGAAAAGTTAAAATGCAAGTTGAAGAATCATGTTGGACGCGTGATACAATATGAGTCGCGTTTCAACAGCTTTCGTCCAGTTGATTCTCGTTTAATTAGAGACTCGAACTAAGAACATCGCGTCTTGACTCATTACGGTTAGAACGATACGATTCATTCATTTAGCAAAAATTTTATAGATTATAAGTGTCTACTACTTAAACAGCAGTGTGCAGTTTATTAGACACCACGTTTCATTTTCACAAGGTCGAGCGTTTATGAGGGCTATCAAATGCTACGAAATGTTATTTATTACATTTTAGGGGAAAGAAATTAATTAATTAATTAATTAATTAATTAATAGTAGCTATGTACTCCAATTTAAATTCTAACAACTAATAATTGTTGCAAACAAGTCAGTTAGTACTGCGAACAAATAAAATTCACTAGCAAAATAAAATAAAATTTTGAATACGTAAATGTATAACTTTCGTACAAGTTACGTGATGTTATCCTGTAATAGATACAGTAGTAAGCAAATACTTCTCTTGTAGCCAATATGTCTTGAAGAATTTATATAATCTTTTGTAAAATGTAGGTGACCGGAGATCTGTTTCCAATATATATTCTCTCATGAATCTTTCATTTTGATTTTTCTCGATACGAGTTTATACATAGTTCTAAAGTTAAATCACGGCAAGAACGAGCATTACGACACACGTGAAATATGTGTGATTATAAATCTATAATCTAACGCATATATAATACGCTTTTAATTGCAGCAGACAATAGAAATAATAACATTGTCGGTGCGAATTAAATTCAAATTAACCGAGAGTAGCGCTTGTCAATAGCAATTTGCCAAAATAATTATTCGAGCGCCGAAATGCTCACAATTATTAACTAGATTTTCAAATTAACGAGCAGATATTAATTCTCTGACGGACAGAGAGGAGTGTTAGTTGGCAGAGGAGCACTTGTAACATTTGAATTTAAAATCAGGTGGTGAATTTTGATTCGTAAAGATTGATAACACGTGTATCTTCCAGTTTTTTTTTTTTTTTTTTTTAACAATTACATATGTTATTTTGATTAGAATTCGACCACCGATCAGAAAATTCGTGTCACTATTTCCGAATTAATATCTGCTCGTTAATTCGAAACTCGATATCGATCTGGCAAAATTATGTGTCAGTCAAAGCTTACCAATATCTTCGGTGACTGCTCTCTCTATTATAGCAACGATCAGCAGAAGGAACAAGTGTTTCTTCATGTTCGCGAGAGCGAGCATTCTTGACGTTCGGATCTTGACGTTGCAAACTGACTGGTATCGGTTCGCGATCGGGCATCGATAGCGCACGACTGACGAGTGCCAAGCCGTGTACAACTACAATTAACCATACTCTCCCACCATACTGATTGTCTTGCCAGCTACCGGCTTGGACACCGTTTTGTTCGCGTTTACCGGTCGAGTCACTAATCACTTGCAAGCGAATTTTTACCATTTTTTCGTTTTATGACTTTTCGTTGGTGAATCGTTGAAAGGAATCGTCGTAGATTCGTCGTTGAAACGAAACGTATGATTCACTCAGTCAGATACGTATATCGTAGATAAGTAAGAAGATAACGATTATCACGAAAGGGCGTGCGTCGCGTACCTTTCTAACAAGACGTTACAACGTTTCTTGCTCAGTTAGCACGAATATCCAAAATGAACGATCAAATCCTCAGGATTCTTCTCTTCTTCGCAGTTTTCCGATCGCTATCGTGTCAACGTGAGTATCGTTAGCGAAATTTTGTACATAAATGTCGAACGACAAGTCGCTCGATAAAAAGTACGAATAGGTTGATTTATATTTTACTGCACATTTCGTCTCAATCCCATTTTTCTCAGAGAGCACGCAGGATGGGACCATAAAAATCGGCGAGAGATGCGAGAGAGATCGCAACTGTATCCCACACGCGTTTTGTCGTTCGCAAATGACCTGTCTGTGCGATCAATATTACTCGCCTACTCCTGATAACTCGATGTGCATCGCTAGTGAGTATCGCTTCGCGAAATCTCTGACAGTCTATATGTCCAAAGATTTATTCGATTTGGAATGAACAACAGGTGCCGGATTGAGTTGTACGAAGGATTCGGTATGTAGATCGATGACGAACGCTATGTGCAGACAAGGGGTGTGCGCGTGCAAAGATTCGTATATTTTAGATATAAATAATTCTTCGAATTGTATCAGTAGTAAGTAACAGAATGGATTAGCAAAATTTCTTGCAAGCATCTTTGTAATCTGTGTGGATCAGTCTGTACGTAAATGGACGTTTCAGGGCCGTTAGTAGTGGGTGATCGTTGTCAAAGGACCGACGAGTGTCAAGATGTATTTGATCGTGCCATGTGCATCAATGGACGCTGTCAGTGCATCACGTCTTATCATTTCGTTAATGAAACAGGGAAATGCGTTCCAACACGGTGTAAGGATCGATATCTCTGTTCACGTTCCTCGTTCGTTCGAACAAATAGCTTAAGCAGAAGTGAATCGCGATTTTAAACGGCTTAACAAATTGATACACGCTTTTTCCAGTTTTATATAATTTGTGTACGGAGAGCTATGAGTGTAGGAGTTTACACAATGAAACTGTCCTTGAATGCAGAAACGGCGAATGTGTTAGTACAGGGGGACAAGGAACTTATACTAAAGGTTAATTGGAATTAATTGTACAGCCGCAATATAATTCGGTGAAACCATCTTTTTGACGAAGTCTTTCTTTCAGGGTCCACGCTCGCTTTTCTTGGAATTCTTGTGACGCTCTTACCTTTTATACATTGACTGATTTAAATTAGCAAATAAATCTCGACTAATTATGATTGTTTTATGTGTTTTTTTTTTTTTTCTTTCTTTCAAAAATTAACAACTATCTGTGTTAGTAACAACTAAAATTGTTGTGATAATTTTTATGCAGTAGGACTCGTAAGATCGTAACAAGTAAAATTCAAATTTGCAATTCGTGTATAATTCGTATATAATTTATAATTTGTATCGATTCCTCTCATCTATTCATCTCCCAGCATTTACATATTTGCATTTGCAAATTTGCTCACTTTAATGCACGATTAATTTGTAATTTGATTCTCCTTTCGCTGTTTTATTTCATTAATTATCAATATTATTTTTAATATATTAATATATTATTAATATATTTTATTTCGATCGTAAATTATATTAATATCTATTGCATTTCAATTTTTATCAAAATTGGCATATCAAAATAGTTGTATGTACTTGCCTATTAGTTGTCTAGTCAAATAACTTTCGCATTAATATATTGTCCTCCGATTCTTTCGTTTCCAGTTTTAACATACCAACAAATTCAATTTTTTTTTTTTTAATAGTAATCTATCGCAAATTGTTAGATCTATTTTATATCAGTTTGAAATTGAGATATGCTATTGATTTGCCATTCACTGTACGCAATATGTATATGTAAATACACATTTCTGTTGAGGTTATGGAAAATAAAGTATAATTTACAGACTAACGTACGATAAATAATAAATTTAAACACATAATATTAAATGTGTTGATCTGTACATCCAAAAGGTAAATTTTATTTTATATACTACTATTTTTATGTTGTATTTGCAAAATACATGTAGTGTATAGAAAATAAGGTTATGTTAGTTATTCAACGCTACATGTAATTCATTTAAAGGATTAATACTCAAAAGAAAAGTATCTATAACGAGAGTTTAACGATAATTATTTTTGTAATTTTGAACAATACATGTTTCAATGCAAAAATATAATTTTAAAAATCGACACAATATTTCAAGCAACAGATAAATAATCATTATACTAATCAAGTGAATTATTCACTAGCATGTCGTGGTTTACAAATACAATACGTACAACTATTAGTGTTTGGGTACCACAAGTGATGCCTGTTAGATTTCGTTATCACGCAGACAAAGTAGCAAGAGGCCCACTTGTGAGGCGTTTTGGCTATAATGATCCTATTGATATGAAAGGATTATTGCCCCGCAACAGTGATAAAAAATTATTACCCATGCCAATATATAGACCAAAGGATGCTTGGGCTGAGAAGAGAGCTTTGTTTGGCCAAAATGATTACATAGATATTTTGGGTTCAGACAAGTTACATCCAACTAAAATCCTATATAATGTACCATCTTGGCTAAGAGGTGTAAGTGGAAATGAATATCAGATATTACTAAGAAAACGTAAAATGTTGAAGCATGGTGTATTCCCAATTGCGAGACCAACGAAATGGAAAGAAATGCTAAAAAGAATAAAATATTTGTATAAATACTTAAACAGGAAAACTAAAACTTTCAGCTCTCGCCAATAATGTATATGAAAGTGAAAAAATATAATTGCATATTGTAGCAAGACAAATATATTCTATCTTTATTTTTATAACATTAAAATCCTCGGATAATAATGGTACACGTTGTAACAAAATATAAAACAACGTATTTATTTATTGACAAACAATAGATCGTTAGATGCATGATTTATTTGTAATCACGAAATAATGTAAATACTTTTTCCGTTTTTAATCTTTGCTACCATTGATATCTATTGTAAAAATGTGAATGATTGCTCGCTTATATATATACAAAATTAAAATGGTGACAACCACGAGATAGACGAATTTCAGACGATAATTGGTTGTAAGTACAGTAAGTTAAAAGAAAATTCTAAAAAATTAGTACAGATCTGATAATTCTTATATATATAAATATATATATATATATGTACAGAGAAACTGCGAGTATTGTCCATTTTTCTTAAAAAAGTAACAATAAGTCTTACAATTGCAAAAATTTATATTGCAAATTGCGTTTAGCACAAGTTTCGCGATGGCCGTATACCCGAATGTGTTATTAATATTTATGTATGTTCTTTTTTTGTTTTTATAAACGGAAAAAGAAATATTATTCTCCATATATGCATAAAATTTTTAATTATTGTTTTATTTTAACTTCTTGTAGTAAAATTATAATACTGTTTAAGTAATGATTTCGGAGTCTTCATACAGAATGTTAGATTTGCATTAGGCAACACCATCGCGAACACGACGCGAAAAATAATTTTTAATTTATTCAATCTATATACATAAACGTAATGGCAGTCAATTAAATTGTTAAAATGTTTAAATCAGCATTTACCGCTGTAATTATATATGTACCTGAATAAGAGTAATAAATTTATAAATGATTCTGTAAGAACGATAGCAACGTAGTTTCGTAATGTTTACTAGCATCCAGACTTCTGAGACTATGTCTTTCATTGGGGTAAACTTGCAATTGATATGGTTTCCCAGACTTTACAAGTGCATTAATCAACTGACTTGTATGAAAAAAGTGCACATTTTCGTCTATGAGACCATGAATGATTAATAATCTATTTTCTTCATCGGGAAATTTATCCACATAGGTCAAAATTGAACCAGACATATATCCATGAGGATTATCTTGTGGTAAATCCATGTACCGTTCGGTATACCCAGTATCATAAAAATTCCAAGAAGTAACTGGTGCACCGGCGATAGCTAACTGAAAAATGGTACATTTCGATTGCCGAATTTTCCTCTCTATACATACATATTTAAAATTTTCGAATCAAAATATTTGATTAATACCTTAAATATTTCTGGATATTGTATTAGGCCCATAAGACTTAAATATCCTCCGTAAGACCAGCCGTGAATTGCCACACGATTTAAATCAATGTAACCAGTAGTTTCCGCTAACCATTTTAGTACTTCCACTTGATCATTTAGTTCGACAGTTCCCATTCTATGTTGCAAATGACTTTCAAATATTAAACCTCTGTGATGCGAACCACGGGAATCGATTAATACTACACAATAGCCTTGAGCAGCTAACATGTGCATTCTTAAATGCCTCATTCCCTGAAATGCACGCAATTGTTAAACGAGTAAAATTTAATTCGTCATGTTATACCTATATTTTTAAAACGCTTACTTTGAACGTATTCGATACTAATTGTACTTCAGGACCACCGTACACGTTCAATATCGTAGGATATTTTACACCATTTTGAAAGTTATGTGGTTTAAAGATCATTGAATAAAGAGTATCATTGGATGATATTTTATGTGTATAAATTTCTGGAGCAAATAATTCGGATTCGAGAGCGGATGGTTCTAATAAATAACCCACAGGCGTTAGAGAAATGCTTTCTACCGTCCAATCTGATTGTGATATTTTAAATACCTAAAAATAAATTGGCCATCACAAATATTTGTCAAGTGTTTATTCTCATAAAAGAATCGTACTTGACAAGTTGGTAACGTCTTGATGGAACTATAAACAGTCACTAGCATCGTGCATTCCTTATTAAAATATATACTGTTGTGACTGTAGCCTGGCCTGGTAAGCAACCTTACTTCCAACGGACGACGAAGAGATACAGCATAAACATGCTGCTCTAATGGACCTTCACGTAAACCGCAAAAATAAACAATAGAGTTGAGTTCATCTACCCATAATTTTTTACCCAGAACTTCCCAATCTCCTTGGGTCAAAGCAACTTTAGAAGTAACTCGAGGTTGCAAAAAAATACTATCCATTTTATCCAATGGTTCTTCCACTTCGTTATTTAAACCTATATGAGAAAAGCATAGAAGAAAAAAATTATTATTTTATAATATGTAATTAATCATCTTTAAGATCATTTGCTATTTTACCTGCTATGCTAGACGTAATAAGATACAGGTGTCTAAAGTCCGATTCTTCGCTGCCCCAAATAAATTTTACTTCCGTTGGATCGTCGGATGGTAAAAAATAAAGAAGGTCGTTAACATTGATCCAAATTGAACTTTGTTCGGAATATATTACTTGAACACTCGCCGATGATGGTGTAAAGTGATTTTCTGAATTATATACATTAGGTGGTGGTTCGCAAAAATTATCTATCGATAATAGAACTAATTCCAGCCTCTGTTGTTTTCTGTCCAACAACTGTACCCAAACGCTATATTCATAATATATTCGAAAAGCTATATTATAGAAGTGAACAACGAAATACACGTGGTAAATTCAAAATTTGTTTCTGACTTACTATTGCGCATCGGGAGTCCAGCCTACCCTTACCATGTACTCCATCCATGGAAACATAATATGTAACGGATATTGAAGTTCTAATATTTCAATATCAACAATTTGTAATGTTTCTGTTAATCGAAATTGTACCATCTTAAGATTGCTTCTCGCATTAGGAGTACCAGCTCTAGGAAATCTGAATTCATCAATATCTTCGGAATTTGATGTTGATGGGAAACAAAATATTTTTACATCGCTCTCGTCAATTTCTTCGTATACTATTCTATAGATACCATCATTGGAATTCGGCTGCCACCAATAACCGGTATATCTAAAAAGTATCATATTATAAAAAATGTCTGCATGAATGTATAAATATGTTAATATACCACAAACCTAGTAAATTCCTCTTGCATTACATAAGAAGGAGTTCCTGCTGTGAGAGGATCATTTGCTAAATTTCTGACGCCTTTTCTTGCATGAGTTAATCTTACAGAAGAACCTGTGATACTATGAGATAGGTACAGATCGCCAGAGCACGTATGAGCAATTAACGCATTGTTCCATGGACAGATTTGTGGACATAGTTTTGCACCTGGTGTTGACATACGAATTTCAGATGGAAAAAGAGGTCCAGCCTAATGTATAAATGTTTACTGTCTTATTATCTTGATTATCTCTATTATCTTGATTGTATATATAAAGATGAGAAATTCTAAAAAGAAATACCATGAATCCTGTGTCTATGCATTGATAAAGGCTGCTCGCAGCTGGAAAAACTAATTTTCCACTATCTAAGTGAATCTCGTAGCTAGTGATACCCCACGTAGCTAATCTTTTTCTTTCCCATAATAATTGTTCTTCCCTTGATAGCCTTTTGGTACTTGAAACACTGCAAACAAAATTTCATATAATCGTGGGATCAGAACAGAGAGTAGAAGAGAGAAAAGAAATAATTTATTTCCTTTTAGTGAAAGAGGTTACATTACGTTTGAAAATTTGCTTCTATGATGGGTTGCCAGTGAAGGCGATAGCCATTCGCATGATCTGAATGTGCAATATCCACAAATAGTAACGTAGTTTCCCATCCATTGCTCGGACTACTAAGAAAATATATTCTGGTCCTATAAAGAAAGAACATAAGTATAATTTAAAAAAACATGCTCTAAAGAATTTCAATAGTGTAGGGGTTATGTTACTACTTTAGAATCGTTTCTTACCGTCCATCTGGTAACGAGCGAAACGTTATAGATCCAGGCACAGAGCCTACAGACACACTGGACAATTTTCTACGTAAATCACTGACAACACCTCTCAATTCTGACCAACTTTTTTGCGATATCGCAGTGTCAGTTAGGGTCCGGTCGCCCCCTTCGTTGCAAGTCTCCATATTTTCTCGTTCTTACCTCCGTTTCTGATAAGTCATTCATCAAGATGACAACTCGCTGAGAAGATCATATCAAAGAAATGTTTAAAAGCAATGTTGCATTGTTGTAAATTCCGAGAAATCTGCCACAGCCGCGCATGCAATCTATTCTTAGGTTATGTTCGTGAACGGTTCTCACTTTCACCTTCTCCCCAAACACAGGCCTCTCCCTTCTCTCGGTCAGACCCACGACATCAATTTTGCGAAATTCTCGGCACGAGTTTCGATCTGTTTTCAGTAAAACAGTTGCCAAGAATTTTCACACATCCAGCTGTAGGTAAGTGGCCAGCGTGACAGTTGTCTATTTTGGCAATCGTCGCGAGTAAATATTCATCAGCGTAGAATAACGACACGTGAAGCCAGATACACTGTGTCATGAACGCGGCGAAGATGAAGAATCCTTTCTTTTTGTTCTCTTTCTTTCGACGATCCTGTGCTCATTTTACCTTGGGCGAAAAAATAGCGGTAAAAATAACTAAACAAAGACGGGGTCGTTTCATTTTTCTCTAATCTTTTTGTCTTCCTCATTAATCTGCTTTACCTTCGAAAAGTATTCCCCTTTCTTTGCTCTTAATCACGATTGACATGCACAAACGCGTGGATTCTTCGCGTCAGTGGTTCTCAATGATAACCGCTCAAGTTGCTTTCTCATCTCTAAACTTAAAATTAATTCACATTATCAAGGAAAGATAACGCGATATGAGATTCAACAATTTTGTTATGCATTTATCGCGAAGTTTCTAACATGGATACATAGTCATCAGAAACATTAATTTAATAGTTTCAGCAAAAAAAAAAAAAAAAAAAAAAAGAAATATCAAGAATACTACCGCTAAAGAATATGTCGTCGCTCTTGTAAAATTTAATTAGTTAATATTTAAAATAGTAGTAGCTAAGTAAAAGTAAGAAAAACATTTAATGCTACGGTATTTTTACGATTTGCTTCAACTCTCTTCGTTCCTTGGGACTTGAATTACGGTTTTAGAGATCACGTACGTTCCGATATAAAATATTTAATGTTCGGCTTTTCTCAAGTCCCTCGTTTCTTTTTTTCCTCTTCTTTATTTTCTGTACCTGCCTGAATAATTCTATTTACATCGCGTCTCTCTATCCAATGGATGACACGTTGCAAATGTTTAATCATGCTTGCCAAAGTGGTTATTTAACGAACCTGTTGAACGGTTTATCCTAGTAATAACTCAAGCTTCGAACGTAATCACTACGGGAAATCATTCAAAAGATAGGATAACAAATGAAAAACAAACAATTATCCTTAGCGACGCGTATTCGCCTAACCGTCAAAATCATCATAATCTTTGCTCTTCGTCGAAATTTTCATAACAGGTTATTAACAAATAATAATTGAAGCAATCTATTGCCAGCCTCTTATCGCGTTTGTTAGAGGTAATCTCGTTTAATATTGCTTGATTGCAGAAATGAAAGGATGATAGGTCGCTTGAGAGTACCTTTGTGTTTTTTAACACGTCAACCATACAGCGAGCCTGCGGTAAAATTTGATTTATATACTGCCGAAAAGATCAGGAAGAATTGGTCGGTAAGGCTATTCGTTGTTTCAATCATTACAAATGCGATTACAACATTATGTTAAAAAAAGAATCATACGACGAATCTATCATAGGCATATTTATAAATTACTTGAGTATAATAAATGTGGAATTGGACTGATTGGTCCTAATACACATGTGACACATACATCATATACGTGCGTCATTTAATAATATCTGCTCAAAGATTAATGTCCATAATTTTTATTTGCCTTTATTTGTACTTTGCTTCTTTTATGAAATGACTATTATCAGATAATATGCACGGATACCTACCGAATATTCGCTTGAAAAACAAGCATACTTGACAAATCGTTTTGGCAATGAGTGAGAGGTTTCGATAATAATTTGATATACGAGTATTTAATAGAGAAAGAGTATAACGTTGGGGTCTTATTGTGTACGTTGCATTTATTTCATTACATCGTATGTTGTCGCTATTCCCGAAAATATTTTTGTTACGTTGGTATCACATTGGATAAATATCGTCGTATACTTACTACTTTTTATTCGTTTCAATTCCGAAAAAGCCGAACGAACACGGCATCGTACCTTCGTAACTTCGATCGAGTTTCTCTTAGGTTTCTGTACATTCTATATGCAGACATATATCCTTAACATCCATTTCGTTTGTCGAAACAGCATTTCCTTCATTTTGCACGCGCACACGAGATGGTTTGGCTTACGAGCGAACTGCTAAAAGCTCGCGTAAATATCGAACGCGTCGATTCAGGTATTAAACGAGGTCGTTGAATAATAATCTAAAATTCGATCGCGTAATTTTCATAAATGGTCGAGTGTATACAACAGATGTTCGATTTACATTGCTAATTAGTTTTAGTCGCTTATCGTTAAAAAATTTCTTATTTAGTTTTGAAAATCTAATTTTTGCCACTCTCTTGGTCAAATTCTCTATGTAATATGTTTAAGGTATTATAAATTTCTTTTGTCTCTTAAAATAAGAGTAACAGTGAAATATAAAGATGAAGTATAGTGAAAGTATTAATACCGAAAGGAATGGAATATATAGACAACGCAAGGCAACAAGGGCAACTAGAAGATCGAAGAACGCAAATGTGTAGAGAAGTATAACTCGATAATCACATGATCGATGCCGTCAGTAGAAAATCACTGTATGGAAGACAATGGAGAAGTGTCAAACTTTGGTATTATTCACAGTTAATTGGTGTATCCGCATCAACGCCCACGATCACAATTTCTTGATCATAATTCTACGTCACAAGACAAGACTGACGTTCCTTTTATTTTTCATCTACAACCTATGACATAGATACGAAGCGCGATCCGATCGAGCTATTTACTAAAAAAATCTAATCTGACGGCAGTCTAAACATGACGACCTTCGGTTTTTAATTAAGCGAAAGCAAGTGTTAATCGAGGTAAAAGGCACAATTTGCAAACGTGTGCCGTGGCCTGTTTATTTTTAAAAGATCGGTGACGATGGCGCCACTAAACCGAATAGACTAGTTTCTTTGCTCTTTTCTTCGTCGGCTATGAAAATTTTTACAGCGTCAAATCTCGACGTACAGAAACCATTTCACGTGCTTTTTTCGCCTTTTTTTTCGCTTCCATTCTATCGATTTTCTATATTCGTTGTTGACTGGAGTCCCTAAAAGTTTGGTTGCTCGCGACGTTCCTTAGCATGTGGTTTCTTAACCACGCAGAAAACAGAGGAAAAATAACGGAGAGGGAGAAAGAGAAAGAAAAGCAGCCGACCAAGCAACCTAAGAGCATCAAAAATTTAAGCTCCACATCTCTTTACCCCGTCACTCGTCCTTTGCTCTCGCACTCGTCTAGAGTGTCTCTTGGCCTACCCTCCTCTCTTTTCGCCTGCTCACTGTGTCTCGACTCTACCGAACGAGTGAACTATTTATCAGCAGTCTGAAACAAGTTACTGCGAATGTGTATTTCGGTGGAGAAGCAAGGACGCGTCTAGATCTCACGTTCCTCACGTAAATGTTTGAAAAATAACGAAGGGTTAGAAAAGGTAGAAAGTAACGACTTCGAAATCGTGTACGATGTTAGGAAACCATATTAATACAGATATTGGCTTGTTGATTATTTTTAGTCGAACATCGATAATTGAAATATCGCTTCTTTTGATCATTTTTTTGCGCTCGAGGTTGAGCAATAATTCAACTAGGTTACATCGTCACGTTGCATCGTTTTATTAATTGATAGCACTGTAAAAGTCGATAGCCTGACTCAAAAATTTATGACATTCACTGAATTCGTACATATTTCATTCGCTTAATCTTCTTTTGCCCTTCTTTTTTTATAGGTTATCGTGAAATTCATATTTCAACTCTTGCACTTTATGTGATTTGTCAAATAAGTATGTAGACACAGTGGTTACAAAAGCCATTCGCGTGTTAATTAATTAGATCCAAGTACAACTAAGGCACAAAATCGGAAAATTATTAAATAACAATTTACTTGGGCTTATTTCATAAAATGATGACTGATATGTTAAATTAAACTTACAAGTCACTTTAGTACACTACGAAAATTTAATAATAGTAATATTACTGAAAAGTCTTTCGTTAAAAAATAAAAGTACGTGCAAAGTATGTGACGAATAATTTGACAAGTTAGCTAGATTAACTAGATAAAATAAAGATAAAATCGAATCCTAGATTCTAGATCTAGTAACAGACGAACGATAAGTCGTGCGAGGTGACTGTGCCAGAAAAGGGATAGAAGGCTGGTTAAACCACCCTTATGAATTGCTCCACTTGCCCCTTAAGCTAATATCGTTGCGCAAACGGCGACTACTTACGGCCACTGATCGTTTAAGTAACGCAATTTTATGCCTAGCTAAGGTATCAATAAACCGTGACAAAAATAGCTGTATCGATCGGTCGATCGGTGATGTTCCACCGTCGCTATTATCGCGACGCGAGCAAATCGGTTTCAGCCTCACGCATTTCTCGTGGAATTTTCGCAAAGTACACGGGGTAGGAATAGTCGAGGGCGAAACTTTTGTCGCGGGGAGCGCGTTAACGTAATAAAAATTTCACTTACCTCTGTCGCTATAATTCAGCCGGTTACGACATCGAAACACAGTTTCCCTGGTTCTTGTACGGCGGTGGTAGTTGCCCGTATTTTCCAGCGGGCGCAAGATAAATAAATAAAGATCATTACCCACGATCGTGGGGGTCGCGTGACCGCATTTCGTGACGCGACTCCTCCTCCCTTAACTGAGGGACGAGAGTAAAGAACAAAGGGGAATGATATCAAACGAAGAATCTCGATGATTCTCTTTTTCTTCTTCTTTAACATCGAGAATATGATTGTTTTACATATTTTTCTTTGCGTTAATAGGATTTAGATAACTCGAATATTACTTAATAACCATTCAATCATCGAGTATTTCGAGTATCATTTCGATTTCAATTTAAATAGATACAAATATATCAATGTAAAATTAGTCTTTCTATTTGGACATCCAAGTATTTAAAGTATTTAAAATTTATCTATTTGAATTTGCGTCTTCATTTTTGTTCATTATTCGAATGTAAAGCATTTGTCGTGTATTTAGATTCAGGTTAAGAAGAACAAATTTGTAGCGATATCGTACAATGACGGACGAAGGAAAATTTAAAATTGATGTCATTTTAGTAAACGTGTAGTAATCACAAAAAGATATTCGAATTCGTGTACTTATATTCATATCCAGTATTCTCGAAACGGAATTTACATTATAAAGTACTCCAACTGCTTCGATAGCTGAGATAATAAGAACTCTGTTCAGTGATCTTACCTTAGTTTTCGTTTTCACTCTCTTCGCATCTTCTGTCTCGCTAGATATCATCGCGAGACATTTCGATTACGGTCAATTACGTGGAATAAGATGCGAAAGAAACTGTTTCTCCCTTATAATAGATCCATTTTTTTTTTTTTTTTTTTTTTTTTTTTTTTTTTTGTTCGTCGAGTCAAAGAAGGGTGAGAAAGAGATGGGGAGAAAAATGGGAGAAGGCACGATAC